TAGTCAAAGTGGATTGTTGAGATCTGTGATTGCGCTAGCGCCCAAAGGGCCCAAAAAAAGTGAGCGGCCTGCAATGGCCATTCTTATAATCACGGTCAGAAAAAAGCTGCCCTGCCTTTCTTTTTTGATGACAGATAATGCAGAGTAAAAAAAACGTACGGCCTCAAAAACATTAGTATCGCGAAGCAATGCCTCAACTTCATCGACGTTAGGCTGCCTTTCCAGGAAATACGTCAAATACTCCGTTATCCACAAGCGTTTACAATGTAGGTCAGGGCAACGTGAATAATCGAAATCTTCCATTCCTTGCAACAAATGGATTCCAGTTACAGTCACAGCCACAAATTAATTTTACCCATCAAGTTTGAAAGTTTAATATACTGAATGCTCTTTCTGGCTATGTATTCAGCATTGTAAAACAATTTTTGTAGCTAGAATAAAAATGAACCAATGATTTGAAGAACAAAAAATCTAATAAGCTCAGTTGATAAAGTTCAAAATCAGCCAAATGTTCATAAAAATCGACTAATAAAGCACGAAAAAAAATTATTTCATAGTCCGAAGCGGGCATTAAGTTGGGCTGCTAGATGCTGGTTAATGCACTAGACAAGGAAAAGAAAAGTGCGCCAGATTTTATCGAAAATAGAAGATTGTCGAGAAACACTGCAACAGTTGCCCCATTCGCTGCTTCCAAAGCTAACTCCAGCTATCCATTAACCTCTGATGCGTATGTGCAAGACTGAAAACTGACCAGCATATTCGCAGAAGTGATTAGCAATGTCAAATGCCTGGTAATTGTAATCCGCATACTCGTAATCGATGAAATATATTGCACCTAAACAAATTCTGTCCAAGGGGTTCATCGAAGCCCATATGTATTGCTTACAAGAGGTAAGCAAGAAAAGAAAGGTGTATCCTGCCTTAAAAAGCAAAAACAATAAAAGAACTATCACTCTGGAGCTAACACCATTTCAAAAATAGCGAAAAGAAAGTAACAAGTAATGGAGTATTTCCTGACGTGCGTCATCAGCAAAATCCAGAAAAAAATACAGTCCGTTATATAGTTGGTTTCTCAGATTCGGCGTGTTCGTTTTCTGCCCTTAACTGATGGGCGGCTGTGAGCATCAACTGAACTGCTATAATTACCTGTTTCTTCATTATGGATAATGTTGTGAATAAGCAGATCGTTGTGGCAAAAAACAACCAAGGCCTGCAGCTGTTGAACAGCTTCTTTGAGCATTTGTAGATCGCTTAGAAAGCAAACGCTTTGTTTCTTGAAAAAGTTGTCATACTGCTGCTGCTGGTGCACATGCTAAAAAAA